CATGCACAAAATATACAGAATACAACAACTATTGGGTCAAGATACACCATCTGCAGTCCATATTCCAAAATTGATCTTGTACAATTTTGCTGTCAGACACTGGTGACATCCAAATTACAAGAACCAAGTAAAATTCTCTGTTTAGATAGCTTTTACTATCTTACTCAGTCCCTCAAATTTAAAAGATTTTTAGAATTATCTATCACTAGGAGCCCTCCTCAAAAGGCTTAACAAGAAACATCTTGTTTCCAGCTTTATCAGTAAAAATGGGAGCTCTTTTGTAATGTTCTATTAACTCTTCCACCGTGCTAAAATTCCGTGGACCAATTTTAAACTTTCCATCAGTAAACTCCACTCTAAAATGCTTGATTTTGTCTGGAGCTTTCATGGACACTGAATAGCCACCTTCCTGATGAGAAAAATAAAAGAAAGTAAATTTAATTTTGTCCTGCACTTCTATGCTATCTCGATTTAAATTAACTTCCAGCAATGTGCCAGTAAATTCATGTTGTGCATGGACACTGTAGAACCTCAAGCATCACTACCATAAAGTTTGTTAGTTAACCCAAAGCAGCTTCGTGTAAAAAGAATAAAACCTTCACTAAATGTATGTCTTCATACATGTGACAATCCTGATAAAGTGAGATGAACTACATTGAGGTAAACTACATTGCCAACAAGGTGCAGCTGTTGAAAAAGCTCACTGATCGCACTTGTTTACAATGTAGTTCAGTTACATGGTCTATCACTGCCAGCTAAGGCTCTGGCCCGGGTTGTTCAAAAGGTGGATAATGCTATCCACCGGACCATCCAGTGGATAGTGTGGTTTGTTTTGTTAACACCTAACCACTGGATAGTGATTTATCCTGTGGATAGCGCTATGTAGCCTTCAAACAACTGGGGCTAGGCCTACACTGTCTTAAGGGGAGGGTTTCACAGTTTGGGGCATGTCTGCCAGTATCTGTTCGCCTGTGCACTCTTTTTGGCACAGGCCCAGTTTTTCATTGTTTACAAATCAATCATCAGCAAGTTACCTAATCATCAACTGAAGAATACATCATACAGGTCAAACCTAAATTCAATAGTCAAATAGACCAATTTCRTTACATTAAAATTCAGCCKAACACAATAGACCTCAGCACGAGGCTCTGGGGAATAAACCCCACAAACTCTGTAGTTATTCCCCAGAGCCTCGTGCTGAGGTCTATTGTGTTAGGCTGAATTTTAATATATTGAAATTGGTCTATTATAGCGTTGATAAAATCCACGGAAATCCTTTCAGCATTTTGGTCATCCGTCATTCTACCATGACTAAATATAGTACATGATTACTGAACTATCTGTACATCTGAGTGGGGTTTTTAAAATGATAACAGTGCTAAGAAGCGAACAAAGGTATTTTGATTTAGAGACATGTGCCGAACCGTGAAACCCTCCCTTAAGAGAGATAAGATGTGACATACAAGAGTTCAGTCCTGAAAATGTTAAAAGCTTTGCATGCACTACAATGTACGAATGGACACCTGAAGTTCATCATTGCTTAAAAAAGCACGACATCACTGTCTTACATCACATGGCATTATCAGGTTACAATGTATTATGCATGCAGTGATGTCATGAAACAATTCTTGCACATTATACTTGCGCATCATTAGGGCAGACCATTATATTTAAGGTGGGGGAGGCAATTTCCAAAAAAATCTTCCTGCACAGAGAAAACTGCTGAAAAAAACTGTGCAAGGGGTGCTATTCATAAAAAATCAATAAGTGCTTACTAACCAGGTCCTGTTTTTACTTTAAAAATGTTCTTGCACAAGTTGTTTCATGCACAACCTAAAGGTGAAAAAAAATTCATGCCCCAAATAATTATCCCATCCCTGTTCCCTTCAGAAAAAAAAAATGGAAAGGCCCTAATAAATTTGAGTTACATGATATTTTAAGCACTTTTTAATTTTGACAACCAGTCAAAAAGTGCAGAGAGACTGCACTCTTTACAATATCTACACTTTTCTCACAGTTCTCAAAGCTAGTGCTAAACAGGCCCCTTGCTTACCTGCGTCTCACTGACTCTCACTAGAAAGTCTCCATCTGCAGCAGCTTTGTTCAACATCTTCTCAGCATACTCCCTAGTAATTTTACCCCAGAACCAAACCTTGTCAGCGAATGGGAGTTTCTTATGTTCAGGTAAAATAACTTTTCCTTGCACTCTGTTGTCGATCACAGGTTCGGAGCTTGGCATCGGTACTTTACTAGCGTTGTTCTCTACATTTGTAATATAATTGCTCGGAACTAAGCCGGTAGAGCCATCCTGTTTCCTAGCAACCCACCACTCGGGGTCATCTTCAGGTTTTTCAATAATATCCAGAATTTCATCCTTTTTAAAACTAAGCTCTTCAGGATTTTTGGGATCAAAAGTGTACAATGTCCTCACTTTCTGTAGGACAGGCTTTGGCGAAGATTTACTCACAGGTTTTGAGTTCTCCTCTTCGGCATAAACATAATTGGATGGGAACCAGCCAGATTGCATTCTAATTTTTCCCTTCCACCACCCATCCTCTTTCTTTTCTAAAACAGTTATCCTGTCTCCTTTCTTCAGCAGAAGTTCATCTTCATGCTGCGGTTGAAAGTTGAATTTTGCAATCACAGTCTCAAATCCAGCCAAAACATCCTGAGGAACAAAATATTCACCAGGTGACGACATTGCTCCATTTTCTTTAGGTGATTTGGTACTTTTTCCCTTTAACCAGCTTTTGCCTGTAGGTTTGCTCTTTTTCACATAGTTTGAAGGAACATAGCCTTTTTCATGTCTTGAATTTTCCACCTTCCACCATCCCTTGCTGTCATCTAACACCACCAGTCTTTCATCCTTCTTAATGGACAGTTCTTCACTGTCTGTTGCTTTGTAGTCATAAAGGGCTATAGCTGCATTCATACATGACATCTGAAAAAAAAAAATAGAGAAGTAAACACAAATAAGCAATAAAACCCATTTACAACCACAATCATGATATGACACAACTTCAACCAGAACTACCTACATGCATAAGCCCACACAGGTGAATAAAATTGTAATATTTTGAACCCTGTGACAAGACTGCATTATAGTCCTGAACTGTCTGTTACAAAATTTCCTCAGATACATATAAGTTCAGTACTGTTAACAAGTTGGTCGGTTACCAGTTGTTTAGCCTCCAAGTTGTTTAGCCTTGGCCAGTTAGCCCCCAGTAGCCCCAATATTCACTCTTAAAGAACAAGAAATAGACAGTGTTTTAGACCTCTGGCCTGGGTTGTTCGAGAGGATTGAGATTTTTCCAGTGGATAGCGTTATCCACCTTTTGAACAAGCCCGGCCTGGTCGGAGGCTTGACATTTAGAGGCTGATCAACTTGGCGACCAAACGACCGTTTACCAGGTGGTCTCTCTCCTACATGTACGAGGTTTATGACTTTTTT